GTTTGATACTAGAATCCAGGACAAAGTTCGGATACATAACTCCTTTAAATTCATGCCTCAAGCGGTAAAACGGAAGGTTCTGGTTTACAGCCATCTACGGAAATGCAAAAAGTGGAAAGAATATTTACAAAATTACAATTCACAATTATTGTAACAACATGGATTGGCGATTTATAAATATGAAGACAATTTCTCATTAATGTATACAACTTGGAACTCATCACTGACATTAAAGGTAATGCAAAGTTTTAGGAAATTTTGAAAAATTGGATGGATTTGCAATGTTGATATACTTGGATGCCCCTGTGGATGTATTATAAGCACTAGAAAATTTAGCCCCTAAAACTATTCTGCTTTCGAGAAATTGAATAATCAAAAATTTACCGGTGCTCCCGGTACATTTTGAATTTTTCAATTAGCACCTAAGGGCCATTCCATGGTGACTGCGACCATGAAAATCTCAGAATATGCGGCAGTTCTGATATATAATTTCCAAACGGGCATGGCAAATTGGTCGATTGTAGTCAAGAAACATTGTTTTAAAGCGAAAGTAATATCAATCTAGAGAGGGCGCTATACAACATAAAGAGTTTATTATTCACAATTTCATCACTTTAGACTCGATTTCAAATGCGACAACGATCATCGAATATTGTAAAATCGCATTATGCTTCCAATATCTTCATTTGAACCAAATTCATGACCCCGTACCAAAACTTTGTATTACCTTTAAAGTTTGCTTAATGATAAGCATGACATGACCTACATCTGCTTAATCAAAACAAACTAAATGGCTGAACCGAAATATACTGACCTAGTTCATTTTACATCTTTGTTGTGTGAATAACAGCGGTGTACTTGACTTAATAATTACAATTGGCAAACTTTTTTCTCGGTTCTGACCTTGAATTGGAAAATGGTGGATCCGTGAAAACGGTAGTATTTCACCAGATATATTCACAGTTAACATAATGGATTTGCAATTATTTATATGAAGACAATTATTTTATATAACTTGGAACTCGTCAATGACAAAAAAGTTTGTTTAATGATAAGCACATGACCTAAATTTTCTTGATCAAAACAAACCAAATGGCTGAACCTATATTATACCGACGTAGTCCCTTTTACGTTCCTGGTGTGTGAATAACAGCGGTGAATAAGACTTGACTTATTAATTACGATTGGCAAACTTTTGTTTTTCTCGGTTCTGAACTTGAAATGGAAAATGGTGTAGGCCTATCCGTAAAAACAGTGTTATTTCACCAGGTATATCATCACCCCTTGTAAGAGTTGTTCTGAAAAACTCTTGAATCTCAAATATTCTTATTTCTTCACGGCACTATAACAATTTTTGGTATTCTGAATACGCAAATGATCTCCTTCGCCGCTCGTTGTCCAACTCGCCCCCTCCCCCTTGTCGACATTCTCTGAAAGGGGTAGCAGCCGGAGCGAGAAGTAGGGAGGTAGAGGAAGAGAAGAAGAGAGAGAGAGAGAGAGAGAGAGAGGGCGGAGAGGGCGGAAAGGGCGGAGAGAGAGAGAGAGAGAGATTATGAGTGAGTGCTTGATGCATGTGGGCCCTGGCGAGAAAGGAGCTAGGGGGAGAAAAGTTATAAAAGAGATAAAACAGAAGTATGCGACAGCAATCATACATACCTTTTTGCCGCCTTTTTGCAGCTAGGCTATAGAGGAAGACTTTTACGGAATCAAAACTCCACTGGATATACGCTAGTGTCGAGTCGAGAGTATTATCGTGCACAATACTCATACCGAAGTATAATCTAAAAGCAATATGTAAATGTTTTGGGTTTTTAATCACTAATGCAGAAGATTCAGCTGGACATGTCTGTATAGAGCAAAGTCCAGAGTTTGAACCTTGATAAAGGAATTTGTTTACTTGGCCGACTTTTTAATTAAGCGCAGCAGCCGTAGCGATCTAACTCGCTATTTGAATTTCGCTCTTTTTATTATAGGAGAGCGCAGCAGCCGTAGCGATCTAACTCGCTATTACATATTTCGCTACTCAGGGACGGATCCAGTGCACGTGCCCCCCCCCCCCCCCCCCCCTTTCAGCGGCTGGCTGAGTCGTTGCAAAATTTTCGGCCCGATTTAAAAATGTTAAACCCCCCTTGAAAAAATCCTGCGTACGCTACTGATTTCACCCCCCCCCCCCCCCCCGGTAAGAAATTCCTGGATCCGCCACTGCTACTATAGTAAGAGTTTGTCGCAACAAATTTCTTCTCTTATAAGAGCACAAAATCGCTATGTTTGCGAGAGAGTAAAGTCCCGGTTTTTACCGGGGGGGGGGGGGTCAATTTGGCCCTTCCCCCCTAAGATCCCCCCGAAAATTTGCATGCATGTCAAGTGCTAGTACTCTAACATTAATACGAAATGATTTAAATGTTATAACATCTACTCAAGAGTGTTTTGCAATTGAAATCACAGTGTCTCGTGGAAAAAAAACATTGTAATATTGGTTATATATAGGCCACCGAGCTCATGTTGACTATAGTCTTTACCCGATTATTATCTTGGAAAAAATGAGGTTCTTAGAGACATCATAATGACGTTGTAATAACGTCGTCCTTACGACAAAAAAATATCTTGGAAAATTTAGTCTTTAAAAGAGGTCATAATTACGACAAAAATTATATTGGAAAAAATAGTCTTTTAAAGACGTTGTATTGACAACAATAATCTTGGAATAAATAGTCTTTAAAAGAGGTCATAATGACGTCGTAATGACGTCGTCAACATTACAACAATTATATTGGAAAAAATAGTCTTTTAAAGACGTCGTTATGACGTCGTCGATACGATAAAAATTATCTTGGACAAATTAGTCTTTAAATAATGTCGTTATGACGTCCTCGATACGACAAAAATTATCTTGGAAAAAATAGTCTTTTAAAGACGTCATAATGACGACGTTAACACGTCGTCAATACGACAACAGTACATTGGAAAAAACAGTCTTTTAAAGAGGTCATAATGACGTCGTGAATACGACCAAAATTAGCTTGGATAAAATAGTCTTTAAAAGAGGTCATAATGACGTCGTAATGACGTCGTCAATACGACAAAATAGTCTTTAAAAGACGTCAAAATGACGTCTTTATGACGTCGTTAAGACGACAAAAATTATCTTGGAAAAAATAGTCTTTTAAGGACGTCATACTGTCGTCGTCGATAAGACAAAATATATCTTTAAAAAATAAGTCTTTTAAAGACGTCGAAATGATGTCTTTATGACGTCGTTAATACGACAACAATTATCTTGATAAAATTTGTCTTTTAAAGACGTCATTATGACGTCGTTTTGACCGTCGTCAATAAGACAAAAATCATATTGGAAAAAATTAGTCTTTTAAAGACGTCATAATGACGTCGTAATTTTGTCGTCCATACGACGTACGACGTGTTTACCACTTTACGACCAATGTATGACGTCTTTAAGACGTCAGTCTGCTATCAGGGTTATTAATACCTATTTTGATGATATTTTACAATGTTTAACTAAAGAGAATTAGCATCTATATATAATGGGTGACTTCAATTTAGACCTCCTGAAGTAATCTAATGATTCAAGGATTAATACTTTTTTGAACAACTTATATGCTAATGGTTTAACTCCTATGATCAACAAACCAACCAGACTTACAAAAACTACTGCATCACTTGACAATATTTTGTATTAATTCTTATACTTCAAATGTAAATGCTGGCAACATATACTATGATGTATCAGACCACTTGCCAGTTTTTGTAATACTAATTTATGCTCAAACATGTTATGAGTATGATAAGGGAAAGAAAATAAGACAAATCAATGATAACACAACGAAGTCATTTTTCTGCAAGTTATCTTCTGAAGAATGGACAGATGATTATAAAAGTAAAGATCCCAATGTTGCCTATGAATTTTTTTCTCCAACTTTCAAAGGCATTATAATAAATCTTTCATTTTTGTTAGGAGTAATAAGAAAAATAAAAACAAAAAGTTATGGGTATCATTAAACTTGTTAACAAAAATAAGATTGAAGAACAAACTTTATAAAAGGTTTTGTTGTAATCCTACATATGAAAATGAAGACAAATATATAGAAGATTAGAAACAAAGTGTCTTCTGAATTGAGAAAGGCAAACAAAAAAAGTATTTTTATCAAAGGTTTAATGATTGTAGAACTGACCTCAAGAAAACATGGCCATTGATTAATAATATATTTAAAAAACGAAAACCCATCTTACCACAATACTTTATACACGAAGGAAGAACACTAAAAGATCCGCAATTGATATCCAGTGTTTTTTTTAACGATTATTTTAACAATATTGGACCAAAACTAGCTTCTTCCATTGATGCAACTACTTGTAAAGATTTGAATTTCTCCTGTTTTATGATATCTCCGATAAACTTAAAAGGAAAGTTTATTTCTGAAATCTATTAATGAAGATGAAATTTTGAAAATAGTGTACTCTTTTAAAAATGGAAAGTCGTGTGGATGGGACGATATTAGTCCAGATATTGTCAAGTATGTCAGATATGTTATTACAAAACCTTTAGCTTATGTTTTTAATCTCTCTCTTCAAATGGCAATAGTACCCTCACAACTAAAAGTTTCAAAAATATAAAGAGTATCCTCCTCTTTTTCTTCTTCTCCTTCTTCTTTTTATTCTTGTACTTACCATCATTTCTATCATCAGTTTAATGTTGTTATTATTATTATTATCTTTAATAAGTAATTCTTTTAATTTTCTTATCTGTCTGTAAATATTACTATTTTAACTTATTAATTTTATTAAAATGTCTGTAAGGGACCCCACTGGAAATAAGCTCTCGAGCTTTCGTGGGTTATCCTGTTCAAGCTGACTTATATTTGATCTGTTATTATTGTATATTGTTGTATGTTGGAAGCTTGTCGAATAAAAATCAATCAATCAATCAATCGTATTTGTTGGCTAAATGACTCATTTTAAAGGACACATCATGCGCCCTCTACGGCCAAGTGTGGCTCAGCTGAACAAAAGAAAGCTCTAGATTTTAGTAGTCGACTGAAATTGAAGAGCTAAACATTGCTGTATTTGAGCGAATTTTAGGGTAAGAAATACCAATTCGAAAATTTCCCATAGAATTTTTGTGATGTGTGATTTTACTATAAAAAAAAAGCGTTGATTTACATTTCTAACCTGGTTTTGTAAGCCTGAATAAGCACTAGATCTATATACGTCACAGGCATTGCGGTCTGCTGGAGTCTGCTACCGTGACCGAGTTTTCGGCAGGGTCCAGGCCGACCGTGTAGGGCCGGGGTTGTGTCGTGTCGTGCAAGGAGGCCGGTGCAGTGGCCTTCGACATAACATGTATTTATCGCGAGCTTAGCTTGGTTAATAACAGCTGGGTTGAGAGTTTTCTACATTGATGATTTATTAATTATGTTATTGATATCATCAAGCCTTACTTACTAACTTAGACCTAGTATGAATTTGCATCTTGTGAAATAAGCCACAGGCACTGGATCCGGATCCAACTCAAACAAAGTAAGGATCGTCTTCATAAACGAGGATCGTCGATCTTTGTAAAAATGCGGACCGATGCGTCCTAAAAAATAAGGATCGTCTGCATTTTTCGCCGACGTTTCATATTTTTTATTGGCGCATTAGCGATGCAAAAAAACGGATTAGGCGATGATTTTCTTGATGCATTTTACATTGACTTTGCACGTACAGAGACCTTCACTGTCACATTATTATGAGCAATAAATCCTTGGGAAGATGGACAACCCATAATTAAAAGTAGACGGTGAACTATGTCTATGGTTATTTTTCCCTGGGGAATCCATTTTTGGCATCGCCAGTGGGCGGTTGGGTAACCCGATACCCGCAGCTCAGAGCGGCGATGAAAAAAAGGGTCTGCGAAAATGCAGACGATTCTCATTCTTGAGGATGCATTTTGTCTGCGATTATGAGGACGATCCTCATACTCAGACCAGCGCCCCTACTGTCTTCAGTCTCTGATAGGGTCTATAGGCACGTCTTCATCATCTCGAGATTGCCAAATATCTTGAGATTGTCAAATAGCCCGCTATTTGGGAAAAAATCCCAAAGTAACAAATAGCGTCTGCACTATCTCGAGATTCGACCTCGAAACTTTAAACTCGACTTTGAGAAATTAGCTCGAGATATTTTGCTCAGCGTTAGCGTGTATTGTGAATCTTCAGTCTAGTGAAGACGCACAGGACAAATAGCTGGATATTTTGCAAACTATCCCAAGATATCTTGGGATGACAATCCTGACCAAATATCCTTCTAATTGCTACTTCGGTCTGATGAAGACGCAAATTACATGTTGCTGGATATTTTGCGATCGGGATAGTTCAAATAGCTGGATATTTGGCAATCTCGAGATAGTGAAGACAGGCCTTATGTGATATCGATGGTTGGTCTGTTCTGCTGAGATTGCAACTGGCTCCTCTCTATGGGGAAAGACGGCAAATGTCAGTTTTATTAAAGAATGACCCAAACCAGGCAGTTATTTCTGTCTAGCCACTGGGTCTGCCACTAGACTACCACTGCATGGTCATCTTAAACAGTCACAGTGAACACAACATGCAACAAACACTTACAAAATCTATCTACCGTATACTAGATTAGTCCTTTTTTTCTTATCTGCTCCTTCAATACTGAAGAGTCTTGCAATATAAACTAATATGCAGAGCCTCCCTCACATTTTTGGCATCAGATTTGCACGCAGTAAACCACTACATATTGCAAAGTGGATGAGCACTACCGAAGCTGAGTGATGGCGATTTTCCTACCTTCCTCATGTTAAAAAGGTGTGATTTACATTTGTAAAATGCTGACCTCTTACAAGAGTTCGCTATGTTTGTTCCAGCTGAAATGCAAAGACTACAATAATAGCGATTTAATTCAGCATACAAAGGCACATACAGGGAGTTTGCTGATTTAAGCCAAACTCCCTGTTCCTGGCATTTTTACATTAATCTCCATTATCATAAATTAAGTATCGAATTGGCAACGCAAAAAACAGATTTTTACTTATATGAAGTGTATCTCAGCATTTCAGCCTGAACCATCATTGCGAACTCTCATAAGAGGTCAAATAACAAAAAAATGTAAATCACACCTTTACTACAAATACCATTTATCCAACCAAATTAACAGCTTGTTAATAAGTGAAGATCAATAACAAATGCTTAGTATGTCTAGCACGACCTACATTGAATAGTGGTATGTGGTCACATAATTTTGACTAGTTACGAGATGGAAGGAAGAGTAGCAACAACAACAGAGAAAGATGTTTTATGATGATACTGAATTCAATTAAAGACAAAGTTGAAAGGTATTTTATACCCTACTGTATCTGATTCCAACATCCTCTCCTAATTCTTTTGTTCTCTCCTTAGCATCACTGTAAAAAAACCTGAAGTTACTGCTTCGTTCTTGAGACAAAGTTTTCAATGAGTAACAACAACGACAACAGAGAAATATGTTTCATAATGATACTGAATTCAATTCAAAACAAAGTTGAAATGTATTTTATATCCTATTGTATCTGATTCCAACATCCTCTACTTCTTTTCCTCTCTCCTTAGCATCACTGTAAAAAACCTGAAGTTACTGCTTTGTTCTTGAGACAAACTCTTCAATGGACGCCACCATGGGTAGTAGAGATCAACCGGAGAAGTTCAGTCATGCTCTTCTGCACCTGCTGGACCAACTACCGGGCTTCGGTGATATCTTTGACGAGGAGAGCTTCTACTGGACCTTCATAGTGTTTGTCCTTTCTACGTTCCTCCTGGCGTACTATCTCTCGCGTAACATCACCATCAAGTCCGTCGACTAGTCATCAAGTCCGTGGACTAGTCGTCGTGTCCGTTGAATAGTCGTCGTCATGGACAGCCTCTCGGGCAAGCAAGGTTGGAAGAAAAACTTTGACAGTTAACACGTCATGAAGGGGATTCATCATTATTCATAACTGTTGTGCAATAAAAGAACTACAAATTGTGTTTTGTAAACGAACAGATCATTAGAAACTGAATACTGAAAATGCTGGCTGAACCTGCAAAGGATTGAATGGGCAGTGGCACTTTTTTATTATCATCATAGAACTACCATTTGGAGATGCTCTTCTGTAGCTGTGATACTGGTACTATACATGCAGGTCTGATCTGCATTTCTACTGACAATTTTGATTGATAATTTAGATGGGCAATCGAAAAAGGCAATATCACAGTACTTCTGCTGACAACAAGTGGGCGAGAGGTAAGATTTTTGTCCTGTTTTTCAAGCATAAATACAATTTAGATGTAGAATGTAAATCAATTGAGAAATGTAAAAGCACTTTAATATGTCTATTAGTAGGGTATTCGGAGAACTGCATCCTTATTTAATTTTCATTTTTTGCCAACCCAGGCATGGCATCTCAAAGTGGGAAAGTACTGTGTATCCAATGGAAAAGGCACTACATAAATCGCTACTCTTATTATTTTCATTAAATTTTGGGCAAAATATTTGAAGTTACTGGTAAGTATTTGTGAGACGTAGGGGATGTAATTTTATATGAAATCTTGAAGTTGTAAGGCTATCGAGAGTTTAATTTAATTTGTTGTGTTTGTATTTGTATTTGTTTGTATCAATTGATGTTTCAGCCTCGGCCAGTTGCTCAAAACCGTCATATCATTAAGTCTGTGGACATCTCATGATAGAAACGCTTATTAATTCTATAACACACGTTTCAATGGGATGTCCAAGAAGTTAGACTTACGACAGTTTCGAGAAACGGCCCCCTGGTTTCTGGATAGACTGGCATTTCAAGAGTCAAAAGAAATAATTGACCTCAATGGAAGTACATGTATATATTGCCATTGTAATGAAAGATCAAATTGCTATTGTAATGAAAGTACATTTATTTATATTTATAAAATCATACCCAAGGCCATGTTTCAGAAAGAATCATTTTGTCTCAGCAGTCCAGTCTCCATTCCTAGCTCTCACTGCTGATCTTTGATTGACTTTGGATCATTTACATACATACTCTCCACTCTGGGGGGTGTTTCACAAAGATCCTAAGATGTACATGTAACTCTAAGTTGGACTTAACAATTATGGAAAGCCGTTGGCATCTTTGAAAATATTTTGTAAAAAAGTTATTTTAAAAGGCATAAAATGTTGATTCAAATCATTCATATTTTCTATTATCTAGGAGATTTCATGTTCTTGATGTTGGATTTATGAAAAGTCTAAAATACTTTTTTGAAATTTTGCTTTTGATTATATTTCATTTTAAGGCTACAGATGGCTCTCCATAATGTTGAAGTCCAACTTAGAGTTAAGTTTGACTTAGGATCTTTGTGAAACACCCCCCTTGTCTTATAAACATATTTTTTTTGCTCTTGATACTCTTTATGTATTATTTGGTAAGAGATTAGGAAGAAGAGAAAACAAGAAAACAAGAAAAAGAAAGAACTTTTTTGTTTTGGAGAAAATATGATTCAAATAATTGATTTAAATAATTATCACAAGGGAGTCCAGAACATACTGTAATGTACATTGTACATGTAGACATCCTAATATAATATGGTTCTGATGTTTGTTTTGTTTTAGTCCACAAATTGTGTTGCTTTCCTTCCAGACAGACACAATTACTTTGTATATTACCCTTCCCTTAATCAAAAAAAGTTAAACTGAGTCTGGATTGTAAACTATTCCTTTTTAAAACCTCATTATCTTAAGAAAGATAGAGAAAGATGAAGAGAAGTAATAGTTTTAATTGTACATGTGCGTCTTCACACTCCAGACTCGCTTCTGCCAATCTTCATCAGAAACATTCATTCTGTAGAACTGTGATCCAGGTTATTTAATGTCTGTACTCAGAGGAGTCATGAATTTACAAACAAACACACATCACTCATGAATAATTCATGTATGCAAATGAGGACTTACCCCCTTCCTCCTACATGTATCTTGGATACAGAAAGCTGAGGTAGTGAAGCATGAAGCCAACCTCACTGTCTTCTGTACTCTGAACCCACATACTTGAGAAGATCCATTCGCTTCACAGAGCCGTCTTGAGCAACCATTGTCTGCTATCTCATCCTTAAAGCAAACCAATTGATCGGAAGACAATTGAGTATCTTGCTGCTACTGCTCTACTGCGGAACCCTATTGTGTCATTTCTATATTGTCCACAAGGTTTTAACCCTGCTGTAGTGCAGCACATATAACAGTTGCTTGTACTTTGCAGAACATATTGGCATTATCTTGAAGTTGTCTTGCAGCTGTATTGCTCCGATTTGTTGTGAAGCAAAGATACCTCAACGTTTCAGTGGTCTTATTATGTGAGGAAGGCATTTGCACATTTGGTGAGATAAAATAACTATAAAATGTTTTGTTATTTGTTTAGCTTCTTGATCTTGATAGTATCGTTATCTTCTGGAATTGTCTCCGGGGAGTTGTTTTGTTAGATGATTCTGAGCCGTTGTGTGTGTTTTCTCAAGAGTTAATGAGGTGGCAATTTTAGTGTCATCACATGATGTAGTTGCACGCTTTGAAGTGTCACGCCGCTTGAGATATCTCTACCGTATATTCATTTTGGTGCGTGTTGCATAACGATTCAATATTCAACATTCAACATTTTTCAAATAAAGATTAAAGTACTTTAAGCCTGTGATTGCATCATAATATCAATTTGTATCTTAAGATATTTGAGGAGATTATTGGAATATGTTGCAAGAAAATTAAAGATAATTTTGTCTCAGTGTGTTTACCAAATTATACAGCATGAAACAGGGTTTGAATGCTGCCATTACTTGCGAATTTATCTATTGCCTTTATAATTATACTTCTCTTTAATAATTTGTTCAAAGCTTGGTTAGCTTTATTGGGATTTGAAGTTTGAACTGAAATCATTCATATCAAATATATTTATATAGTAATAGTATAGTTCTATCTTCATGTCCAGTACATTGTAATACTGTAGTTTGGCTTTAATTAGCATACCATGTTCTTTTACCATACATGTACGTGCATATACACAAGTACATTGTATTACAACATACAACATACATCATTGTTTGAATGTTTGTTTTTTACTGTTTTTTATTTCTTTCTTTCTTTCTTCTTGTAGCTGGACTCTTGACAATGGGAAAGCAGACCAGTAAACTAGCTAAGACCAATCTTGATAACTTGGCAGAAACCACACACTGTAAGTCATCTGCTTTCTTCTCCTTTTTCTTCTTTTTTCCCCTTCTTTTCCCTTCTTTTCCCTTCTTTTCCCTTCTTTTTCCTTTTTCCCCCTTTTCCCCCTTTCCCCCCCTTTTTTTTTTCTTCTTCGATTGATTTCTGCCTCTTTTGAAGATTGCTCACACTTCCAGTATTTTTTGCCATACAATTGTAGTTAGCCTCACATTAATTTAATTAATGCTTTTTTAAATGTTGTCATATATGTACATGTATGTATCTGCAAGTCAACTACTATTTGAAGTCAAATTCAATGCAAATTAACATTTCATTTTATAAGATGCACACTTTTGTACACAGTACTGGAAGTGGTTTAGGTTTTATAATCTGTTTTGTTGTTGTTGTGAAAAACAGTGAGTTTGGGAGGTACTGTTGAGTGTGTAAAAAAGAAAAAAAAATGTATCTTTCAGTTGAAGCTGCTTTCTAAATGATCATCGTTTACAATGCTTTAGATTTACTTACATCACATCGATTGTAACAATTATAAATGTTAAAGGGACTTGGTAACATTGTTCAGATGAGAGAAAATGGTGCTAAGGTAGTGACTTTAAAGCTAGATGTACAATTAAAGATAATCTGAAAGTTTGAGTGAAAACAGACCATTACGAATGATAAAAATTGAGAACAACTGATCTGATCGATTTCGTAATCCTCCAACTAGATATTATTATAATTTCATTAAGTTTTAGATGAATGTAAATCATCACAAAGCAATGAATTGGCTCTATACATAATATCAAACATTTAACTGTTGAAAGATGTTATTTCAGACTTGTTTGTATACAAAATCCTAAATCTGTATTTCCTTCTAACGTTTTTTCCACAGTCAGCGAGAAAGAGATTAGACAATGGTGAGTAGAATTTAAAATCATTCAACGAACAACATGAACAAAAATAAAAGATAGAATTACCGGTATCTAACCTTTTATTTTATCCAAAGCTTTTTTCCTGTAAAATCGTTAAATAGCATCAGTTGTTTATGAAATTCTTAAATGAGGAATGAGGAAGGTACCAATGTACATATTAACAATGGAAATATACTAGATGTTATGTCATCGGCTTCTACAGCATTTTATAAGTATAATTTCTTTCCTTGGAAGAAAATGAAAATATTTTATGAACAAAATAAATGTAGGGTGTTGTGATTTACTTACGTGTATGTGTACAAATATTACCAATTTGAGATTTTTTAGTACAGTGTATAATAACTATATATCTCCTTCCTGACCAATAGTAAACTACTGGGTTCCTAACTATCCTGAAAGTTAGGGAAAAACTGGAAATTTTGTTTTAAAAATTCCAGACATGGAAACAGAATTTGAAAAAATATTCAGTTTAATTTGTCCGAAAAAGAAAGGAGTCAGCCTCTTATATTTGTTTTTCTTGTGTCCACAAAGCGTATATTGTTAAAGGTAATACAAAGTTTTGGTATGGGGTCATGAATTTCGTTCAAATGAAAATTTTGGAAGCATATGCGATCCTACAATATTCAGTGATCGTTGTCGCGGTTGAAATCGAGTCTAAATTTATAAAATTGTAAATAATAATCTATTCATGTTGTATAGCTCCCTCTCAAGGTCAACATATTAATTAAGCAATAAAACAATGTTTCTTGACTAAAATCGACCGATTTGCTATGCCCGTTTGAAACATATCTCAACTACATATTCTGAGATTTCCATGGTCGCAGCTACCATTGTACGGCTGTAGGCGCTATTTAAAATTTACCGGGAGCACCGGTAAATGTTTATATTCAATTTTTCTTGAAAACAGAAGTGTTTTAGGGGCTCAATTTTCTAGTGCTTATAATACACCCACAGGGGCATCCAAATAATTCAAAGTTGTAAAGAATCACTATCCACCAATTTTTCAAAATTTCCCAAAACTTTGTATTACCTTTAAGGTGGCTTGTTATTATGTTTATTTAGTAATCTTTATGCATGATCCCTATGAATTTCGTTTAAATCTCTGGAGTTTGGGTTTTGTTTTTGTTTTGCACCCATGTTTCCTGGTCGCCTGTAAAGTGTCAAGCCCTATGGCAGTGATATCTCACCTTTAAACTCTTGTATCTTTTTTGTATTACAGGCATGAAGGGTTTACAAGAGATTGTCCAAATGGAACCCTGAATAGACAAGTAAGTAGAAAAAAAGAAATCAAATTTGTAGAGTGTATTCCATCATCTGAATGCTGTAGACCACATTACAGGCAAGAAGCTTGCCCAAGACTTGCTTTGTAGTATATATGTTATGTCTTTAACCAGTATTCTGACTTCTGATACATGTGATCTGGTGTCAACTATATATTGTAGCTCATATTAACAAGTCTCTTGTTTGAGAAAGAAGCATGCATCACATTTATTAATACAATTGTTAGATACAGTATATATAATGCCAATATTAGCTCTTCTGATTTTTCTTCATCAACATACATTTTGTTCATGTACATTTCTATAGTGGCTGTATTGTATCCTAACCTCCATCCCCTTTAATATTAAATGATCAGGTTTTCATCCTTCCATTCACTTGCTTCTTGTATAGTTTACATTTCACTTTTAAGTAATTATGTGTTTCAGACCATTTGGTTTGTAATATATTCACTTTTCAATTATTTGTTTGTTTATTAAAAATATTTATACAGGATAACAATAAACAATATCAGCCAAAGCTGTTTTTCACATTGGTCCTGTATACATGGTTAAACAGAAAATAACAGTGAAATAAGCGAAACTGAACTATATCAGAGGGATATTGAATAATATAACATTATATGAAATAACAAGCAACTAGAGACATGGATATTAATAATTTATAGATTTACCCATTGTCAGCATTATTTTGTTGTCTTTTCATTTGTACGATGACAAATTTGAAAGAAAATTGAATTTACTTCTGAATCCTGTAATAATGAAGTTGTATATATATATGTACACTCTTTTATTTTCTTCTAGGAATTCCTGGAAATTTACAAGCAGTTTTTTCCGTTTGGAGATGCCACCAAGTTTGCTTCATATGTGTTTGATGTCTTCGACGAGAATGGGGTAAGTCGATGTCGGTGTCTCATGGAGGAATACATTGTACCTTCTATTGGCTTACACTTGTACATTTAAAGGGGGTGGGTCATCAGTTTCTATGTGCAGATGTACTGATTTACTGACACAAGCTGCCATTCCATTCGAAGACGCGATTGAGCAAGTGCGCAGCTGCAGAAAATGCCCTAATGAATATTCACGCCATACAGCCAGTGGGGGGCTAACAAATTGCAGTGAGAACAGCGTGAATTTTGATATCCCGGGACAGGCATTTAGTACGAGACTAAAGCGTGTGTTAAAAGCAAAAAAAGTTAGTCCGGGGTTAAGGATAGTACGGGGCTAAGCAAAATACAGGGCTAAGCAAAACAAGTGTGAAAAGAGTATGTGTCTTAAAATGGTATCCTTATTTGTGAACTATAGAAATATGTATACTCTTATTTTGATACTTAGGCATCAATCTAAACATTTGGATTTTCGTTTCACTGCTCATGATGGTAGTTTTATAGGATTCAATCAAATGTTGAAAGATTATTTTCTTTAGAAGAAAAAAAATGCAGAATTTTTATTTTTATTTTTCTTCAGCATTTCTATGATTTGATAGATAATGTCATTTTCGGAGGGCAGTGTTCTAAGGTTTTGGGTCTACAAACAGTCAAACAGAAGAATCCTGAAAGTATATTGACATAGAAAAAAAAGCTAGAGGTTGGAAACCAGCTCCTGTGAATCCCTTAATTAACCGCACAAACAGAACACTTCAGAGACACACAATCAACAACAAAAGAGTAATTGAAAACTCCAAAGAGTTCAAGATAATAAACCTGCGCTGCTATGGACAACCAATCTGGTTGCTAGGCGACTATGGTCTTTGTGAAGACCATACCCTGGTTACAGTAGATTTGCTGTCTGAAGAGTGTAGACATTTATCTTCTCAAGTGATTGTTATTATTGAGCGCTGTTACAATCACAGCCCAGACAAGTGTCTCACAAGGCTGTCTTACATGTATGTCGCCTTATTAAACAGTTAAGTGTCTCTTGAACTTTTATGGGGGTGTGTGTATCATGGATATACAGTGCATGTAAAAGTTAGGTGTGGTTTTTATGAAATGAGAAAACTTTGATTCATAATACTAGATTTTAAGTTGACCTCTCTAGTGTCACTTTGAAAAGGTTGATTGTGGGAGGGGGGGGGGGGGGTGTCATGGGTGTAGGTTTGTTCTTTTTATGAAATGAGAAAACTGTACTTAACGCTAGATTTTAAGTTCGTCTATGTAGTGTCACCATGAAGAAGGGAGTTTCAGGGGCATTCTGTCATTTATATTACAAAAATAAGTACACAAGTAACCAAAACAAAGGTATTATTTCGTTAGAGGTTCTTCACCTGACCTGAATATAAAGCTGTTTTTCGGTAAAATGTGTTACATTGTCCATGAAAATTTACAAGGTGTTTATTTTTTTGAAAGTGAAATATTCTATGTGCTTCTATCCCATTAATTATCATTTGTTGTGACTTCATGAGCTTTATAAGAATGTAAAAGAGACACATTTATTTTGATTGTTTTTTTTGTTTAACCAGGACGAGGAGATTGAATTTGAGGAGTTCATCCAAGCTCTATCTGTTACATCAAGAGGAAACATTGATGAAAAACTAAATTGTAAGTTCATATTCAAACATGCTGCTCTATTCTAAGTATTCATGTACAATGTCAATTACATTTTAATTTCCAGCCTATCAAAAGGGGTGAAGCCCTTATCCCTGTTTGCCTGTATTAAAAATTAATTTTATTCAACGATGCTTGTAAGTAAATTGTACCTACTGTACTAATTCCCTTCTCAATTGAAAAAAATAATTTTGTTAGATTTGTTTGGACATGAAGTTGAACAAATGACCAGATACTTGTAAATGTAAAATAGATACAATATTGTGTGTGTCTTTGTGTGCATTATTATTTTTTCTTTCCTTCTCTTCAAAGTACACTAAATGCTTTTTCAGATACGATGCGGTATCACGGTCACAGGAAAAAAAAGAAGTTTTTTAACTTGTGAATGAATGGCAACTGCGTGCAACAAAGGCCCTACGCATACTCACTTTATTAGCTCTGTGTTTAAGATGCAAAAATGTGAAGCATGTTATAAACACATTAATATGTTATCATTAAAAAAGGAAAAAGAAGCAGTTTACCCCTTCATATCTGAACGAGGAAAGCAAAATGTTTATGGCCACCTGACATGGTATGATTTATCTTGGAGTGTGCGGCAAGTCCTTGTTTTACTCTTAGTGCTACAGTTTACCCTTTCGCAACAATTATTCCACATTCTGTGGTTTGGCTCAATTACTTTCGATTCAGAGCCCTACAAAATATACCAGATGCCGAACACGAGTAGAAAGGGCAAAAATTTATGCACATTGCATCCATTTTGGTTTCATGATTATATTGCATTTGTTGCAAGGAATTAAAAAAAAAGGATCATATGTTTTTAAATCCTTAAATTGGCAACAGGTTAAGGGGATTTAAATCATTGTTCTTCAATCAAAACAATTTTATTTTTCAAATATTTCGACAACATTCTCGCTTGTGTATATTGTTTTCACAGATACTGCATTATATTCTATCATTCTAGCGATGAAAGAAAAATATAATTGTTGCCAATTTGAAGAACAACATGTGATCAATTTAGCCCTGAAAATAAATCCTGTCCTGAAAGGGTTAAACTTACCGATTGTGATTTATAAATATTTCCACAACATTGTCGCCTATGTATATTGTTTTCAAAGACATTCCATTATATTCTATCATTCTAGTGATGAAAGAAAAATATTATTGTTGCCAATTTGAAAAACTATATAGAACTGATTGTGTTTTGTCTTTTACGGTTTAGGGGCATTTCGTCTGTATGACCTCGATGGAGATGGCACGATCACCAGACGAGAGATGCTGAGCATCGTGGAGGCTATCTATCAGATGGTGGGCAACATGGTGCAGCTTCCGGAGGATGAGAACACACCGGAGAAGAGAGTCGACAAGATATTTGCTCTCATGGACAAGGTACAGTCAAACCTGCTTTAGTGACCACCTGTCTACAAAGACCACCCGTCTACAAAGACCACATTTTTTGTTCCCCCTGAAAATGGTTTCTCATTGAAACATGTACTAAAGGAACCTGTACATAATGACCACCTGCCAATAAAGACCACTTTTCATGTCTCCCTTGGGTGGTCTTTATAGACAGGTTTCACTGTATGTCATTATAAACAGAATGATACACGTAGACGCGATGGCTCAGTGGTAGAGCAGTGGTCTCGTAACCGGGAAGTCCCAGGCTCGAAACCGGTCGATACGCTAATGCTCTTTGGCAAGGCATTAATCCTCATTACCAAGTCCCTCGGAGAGGACTTAAAGCCGTTGGTCCCCTGGTTTACAAGCATACAAATGCTTTCTTAGCAGTCAGGTAAAACAAACCATCAAACCAAACTAAAACCAAATTGTAATTAATAGAGATGTCATGTTCTAGAGGATATGTTACTTCAGTGTGGATCATAAGGTTCGCAGTTCGAGTCCCAGCTATGGCATTGAGGTCCTTTGGCAAGACATTTATCTACATTTGCCACTCTTCACCCGGCTGATAGGAAGTTATTCCTCTTCCGAGCTTGCAACTTAGAACTAATTGTAGGGTGCACATGTTTTAAAGTATAAATCTGATACTGGGTATTTGGATGTTCAGCAGTAATGTGCGTGTGCACTTAAGTTGCACAGGGCCAGTTGGTTGTGTATTCACCATTCACAATGCCTGGAGCTCCTGGTATTATGCATGGTAAATCATACATGACCATCTGGCCCTGTGCAGCTAAGTTGGACACGACCATTGCTGCGGAACGTCCTTAAGATATGTCCAGATTAACTAAGCTGTTGTCACATTACACTGAGCTGCCTTATAAGCAATTCAGAGGGCTCCATTAAACACCTATCTGAGGGACGTATGTAATGTTTTCTCTTTCATTCTCTCCCTACTTTGCATTTCCAGAATCGAGACAATCAGATATCCAAAGAAGAGTTTCTGGATGGCTCCAGGAAGGATCCGTCCATCGTCCAAGCTCTATCGCTCTACGATGGACTGGTGTGAGCAAATCCAGAACCTTACCATCATTTCATCACAAGAGGGTATCCCGTACAGCGTACTTTTAAACATTCCTTGTTGCTCATCAAGTTCAGCAGAATCATCAGGTGCTATCGTTATATTTCCAAAGCATACCGTTAATAGAAAGGGTTGTGGGAATCATTTTCCAGAATTCATTATAAGTGGTGCATGGAATTTACATTCTTTGATCGCCAAGGGGGATACTTCTGTAAACAGAAATATCGTTTTTTACATGTGCTTTCTCCTGTGCATTCAAAGTTTGCACAATCAAAGAAGTGCTACATACTTCATGTTAACAGTTTTAGGCAGAAAGGGCATACAAAACAATATTTCATCATGTGTCTTATCTATTCAGTTTTGATTACTGAAGGAATTACAATATCACTGTTATTAATTTGGTTGGTGAACGGTCTGGTCTGTTGCATAAATGTTTCTGTACTTGTAAGCATTGTAAATCACATTGAGAGGTCTTACAATCCCAAAATGAATCAAAAATGGGAAGAACGCTTTCTATTTATTACAGTCAGACCTGCTTTAGTGACCACCTGTGTACAACAAGCACATTTATTTGTTTCCCTTGAAAATGGTTTCTCATTGAAACATGTACTAAAGGAACCTGTCTACAAAAACCAAATGTCTACAACAAGCACAATTTTTTGTTTCCCTTGGGCGGTCACTGTAGACAGGTTTGACTTTAGTAATATACAGTACTCAAAAGAGGGTGAAAACTCTGGAATGTGTTATTCTTTAAAAAATGAAAATCATCAGTGCATCCATCCACACTCTTTTGCCACGTATGCAAAGAAATTCCCTGAGCTCAGTTAGGCCATGTAGCTCATATGGAAGAGTCCATAAGATAAAAGCCAGTAGACAATATGCCTATTTCTTGTAGGAAAAAGGAAATTTGTTTTTTCCTTCAGTTCAGTTCAGTTCAGTTCAGTCTTTATTTCATTGTCAATAAAAACAATACTACATAAAATATATACACAACAGAGTATTACCAATAGAAATCAATGCAGAACAATTAGAACAACATTAAATTATGAGATTTATTTCAGAAAGTGAAAATGCATTAAAAACAACATGTCAGTGCTCATCAAATATTTAGAAAGTTGTCAAAGAATAATATTATCAAACCAATTGATTTGATAGATTTGATATGTATTGCTAGATTGTAGTTTTAGATGTGTAAAAGAACATTGAAAGTGCCAACTAGACTAATAACCAGTTTATAGCCGTTTTATATTTAAATCATATAAACTCTTCTGTCTTTGATTTGAAGAAAACAAATTCTGCAGGGTAAAACAAGAACCTTTTATTAATTTTTAGTAACATGTATAGATAGTATAGATACATTAAAGTTTGGCTGCAAACATCACAAATTAGCACACCCCATCTAGCTATAAGATCATTGAAAAATGCTTTTTATTTGAAGTGCGGAAGTCTCTGAGCAAGTAGGCAGTTTTTTAAAACTTATATTTCAATGTGACCGGACCTTACAGTAGCCAGAAGTACGGTACATGTATCAAGCAATGGGAATGTCAGAAGCATATTTTAAAAAAGATGATGTTGAAATCCATTACAGTTGAGTACCGGGTAGGTCATTTTCATACTGTAATTAAATTTAATGCTTATGTTTGTGATAAGTGCCTTGTTATGAAGTATTTCTTTCACCTCTTATGAATAATTGTATTTTAATAGCCAAAAAAGAGATTGCGTGCATTACATGTTGTTAAGAAAGACAATTAAGCCACAACAAATTTCTGACCAAGCAACAACTAATGTATACAACTTGCTTTCTGAATATTGAAATATTATTACATATAACAGGCGGATGATATGTCTTATTGGGTATTAGTTGTTAACATTGGCACTGTTATTCTATGAGTGATTTTAAGTTTATTTTGTCTAGTATGCACTCTTCAAAAACCCAAGTGCCCACAGACATTGCACAAACATATTGTTTCACAACATCAGACTTATTGATTGTAAGTTGTATTCCATTTATCAAAAAATAAATAAACAGGGATTAGAATAAGTCTTAGATTTTTTTTCTTCAGCCAAACAAAACATTTTGAGTAACCTTAACTACTGTATTATGTCCTGATAATTCATGACATGCTGCTCGTGTCTTAAAGGCATCATTTAACAATGTTAAATCTGAGATGCATGGCCCTACATGTTATCAGTGTCTGTGATATGGTGTAATATTGAAGCCATACAAATATTGTGCTTCAAAATGATCATAAAGTGCCTCAAAAAAGTAAAAAATCCTTGAGTGACCAGTTTTACCTTACTGGTACTCTTTTTCCCCAATAGACTGTAGTGTTATAAAAACCGTTAGGAAAAAAAAAAAAAAAAAAAAAAAATCAATTTTTTATCATAAATATCTTGATAATCAGACAGGCAATCAGCTTTTAAAAGTCATGGGATTCCTGACTGACTTAAAGGTTTATAATTATGATTGCAGCATGAGCTAAATCCAGGATTTTGTTTCAGAATCTGAGGCAATGTCACAGAGTCACTTTAAGTGCATGTAATCTCATCTTTATTTGATCATCAGAAAGAAAAGGGTTGATTTTTCATCTGAAGCAAACGTACGTGGTGAATCTTGCTCAACATAGCCATACATATGTACATATACATTTATATATTTATTTCATATTGAAAATATTTACAAACTTGCACAAAACATTCACAGATACCATGTACATGTATACTATTGATATTCACCGTTAAATGTTATTATATTGTTTTTTGTCTGCATTCCTATTGCAATAATGTATTGTATTCTATATGTTCAATTGTATTCCTTCAAATATATTATATATTTACTATTCTGGAGTACTTACATGTACCTAGGAAGGGAGTGCCTTGAAAGAACTGTTTTTTTAGTCACTGATTTCCATGTATTTGCAATCATTTAGGCTGACACCTGGGCCCCATTTCACAAATCTTGTCATCAGTGACAAATGACCGCTTTTGTTACAAGCTACTGAAATCTTTGCGTCTGATTGGTTATCAGCAGATCTGTCACTGATTTTTGTCATTTGTCATTGAAAGAATGCTTTGTGAAACAGGTCCCAGTAGTCTTGAGGGTAGAACAGTTATTCAGATGACAATGTGAGTAAAAAAAGAGGGTTTTACATATTTTATGAAATTATCAGATATGTAAGATAATTAACAGATATAGCTTTGTGAATAAGTATTCTATTTATCACTCTTTTGGAGGTTCAAGTTCAGAAGAACAATACTGGTACTTTCAATTTAAGCAATGGTATTCCTAAATTTTCAAACAACAGTAACTTTAGGCAAAATGATAATGAATGAATGTTCGGATGTGATAATAGTCTCAAGATTTTCTTGTTTCACCAATCTCCTTTCATTTTGTTTGATACTGCCCTGTTTTCTTCTCAGCCTATTTTTGCATTTATCATGTTTTTTTCCATTAGATTTATCATGCATTTTTCTTTATTTCTGTATTGTTCTGTACCATCACTTTTCAGATTGATATATTTAGTACAACAATCATTGTATCTAGCATTGTTTTGCTAGTCATTTTTATGAAGTTTTTCTCACCTACATATCATGATGTGTGCTATCATTTATAAACTGTCAGTTTTCTTCTCCGAAACTTAGTAAATTATGAACAACCATTTTATATGAACAACCATATAAATGGGAGAGCCTTTCTTAGTGATGTGCATATTGTTCACAGAGAGTTAGAGCTCCACAGGAATCAGAGATGCTTCACAAATATATTCAAGGTAGGGGCTGCACCCCTTAAGAAGTTGAATACTATTCTATGGACACCTGTCTTCTTTTGTGCAGCGGGGGTGGTGTCTCCAATAAGTTTTTTGTTTCTTGCCTCGTATAATTTCATAACCAAATTGCCCTAAAAATGCATCACCACTCCACAAGTGGTGGTTCATTAGAAAGAATGCCCATTTTTTTCTTGATCACATGTTGAGTTTTGTAAGCTGGAAAGTTATGACTCAAGTAAGAGACACCCCCCCCCCATCACACCCCCTCCAGCAGCTATTGTACGGGGGTTTAACATGCTATATCTGAACAAGTCTTTAGGGTCATCTTGTATTGTCAAACATAAAGATGTTTCATACTTCACTTTTTGTTATGTTGTAAATGTAGATATTTTAATACTGTGATTTTGACAAAATCATCTGTTACAGCTAGCTCTGATAGTGGATGCCAAGATTGATATGTGTTTTTTCATTAACCTCATCTTTTATTACTCTGCAATGTTATGTATATATAACATTAGCAATGTGTGTAATAACAGTGTGAAAATTGTGTGCAATTTACTGTGGGATGATGTTTATTAATAAATTATAAGTATGATGACACTTTAAATGATGGTTCAGTTCGTATTAAATATGAAGAACTTGTTTATAGCTCCATATCACTGGTAAACATAAGGTTAAAAGAAAGGTATTGTACAGGTATTTATAATGATGATGATGTACGTGGTTATGTTGATGATGGTTATGATGATGATGAGTGATGATGATGATGGTGGTGGTTATGATGATGATGGTGGTGGTTATGATGATGATGATGATGATGATGATGATGATGATGATTAAGATGGATGATGATGATGATGATGATGATGATGATGCATGATGATGATGATGATGATGATGATGATGATGATGATGATGATGATGATACTGATGAGGATGATGGATGATGATGGTGATGATGGATAAAGATGATGATACTGATGAGGATGATGGATGATGGTGATGATGATGATGATGACGACAACGTCGTCGATGATGATGATGGATGATGATGATGATGATGATGATGGATGATGATGATGATGATGATGATGGATGATGATGATGATGATGATGATGGTACGGTGTTGGCGATGATTATGAATGATGATGATGATGGATGATGATGATGGATGATGATGATGATGATGATGGCTGATGATGATCATCATCATGATTGGTGATCATGAAGGTGTTGATTGATAGTGATTGATTGTGTTTATGGGGATGTCGATATTGTTGAAGATGTCTCATGGCGACGATGATAATCATGTGATGAGTGGTGGATTGGGGGAGGCAGGTGGAGGATCCATAAGTGTAGCCATATTAGCTTTTGTCTCCATCATTCTTAGATTTAAAATTTCCACAAGTTTTTATTGGGGGGGGGGGAGGGGGCTCTTCTCCCACCGGCCTTACCACTGACCCCCTCCATTTTGGGATAATTTCAATATTTTAATTTATCTCAAAACCTGTTGGGACGGGGCACTCCTCCAATTCTGGGAAAAGATTGAGAATTTAAATTCTCATTTGGAAGTGAGGAAAATGTATATGTTTGAAATTCCAGAAGATGTACGTCTGCCTCCATAATTATTGCCATCTCATGAATATTTTGATTTTCCAAATTTCTGTATAGTATACCCTCTCCCTTAATTAGTTCCTTCTTTTCGGGGGAGGGGGGGGGGCGGGGTCCTTACTCTCTCATTGTTTCTCCTCATCCATAATCATATGGTGTTGATATAATTTTCATGAACTCTAAAACTTAAATGCAAGTCCCAAATATCCTGATTGTATGAAAATCAAGATATATGTTACATTTTGTTGAGTTGTGTTTGAAAGCAACTCTATTAATATTCTTTCTGAAAGAGGGCTCGATAAGTAAGGTAGAATAAACGCATATACGTGTCTACTTCAAAGATACCATAATATTAATCAAGCAAATCAAATTGGCTATGCTCAGCATGCTAAACATAAACAATGGCGTCAGCCCAGCCGGAGGTGATTTACAAGGTGATTTTCACTTGATTTTATATTCTGAATAACCTATCAATATGTTTTAAGCTATCTGTTTTATGTAAATATGATATATTTTCTACGGATAATTTTCATTATGTATGCTAGATATGAAGAGGATCTGTGAAATTGAGCGTTAAATGTATGTCCGTTTGCGTGGGAGGAGCTGCTAGTTATTTGAGGCTGTCGCTGCATGAGACTTCGCGGAGAGTGTAGGGCTGCGTGTACGGTGTGATATGGGACCTGAGCTGCGCTGCGTGGACGTGGTCATGCAGAAGAAAACAAAGCCCGGAAATGAGTCAAAGTGTGTTGTGTTTATAAAGTATTTTTGGTTTGAACTATTTATAAACTTGGACTGTTGGACATATGCATGTATTTAAGTACATTTGCCTGTCTGTTTTGAAATGTGAGTGAAATTAATTAAATAATTTATATTCATACTAGGATCTACTCATGATAATCAAGTCTGATCTACTGTAAACTAGGTCTAGATTTAAATATTATTAACTCATCATTTGCTCATCTAGAGTCAGACTCTAGTCTCAGAGATTTAAAATTCTAATTATTCTATCTCTAATTCCAAGTTGCGTTAGATCTAACTTGACTCTAATTTTGTTGTAATGCCATTGGAAAATGCAATTGTTGGTTGCAATCAGTTTAGTTGAAAAAAAGAGAAAAACGTTTTCATGAGGGGTCAGGTCTATTCTTACAGGCTTGGTGATTTATGATATCGATAATTTGATATCACCAAGCTTTATACTTTCAACTTTGCATGCATTTGCCTGTGTGGAGAGCCATGTAAACAAAAACACAAATGTGAATACTACTCGCACATTCCCGTAAACATCGAACCTTGCAAACACCCTGCAGCATTTGCTGGCGGAGTCGTCTTTCTACTCATCCAACACACTTTGAAATTGGTCATGAATTTGATAAAAATGTGGCAATCTTTTACCGGAGTGACAGAGCTTTGCTCATACCTTCAACGTGTTCCGGATGATATTGAATTGACATGGAATTAACATGACAAACTTTAATATGGCCCTCTGTCAATTTGATGCAGATTTTACAACAGTAGCGATTAGTATAAATTCAGTGACACTACAGTATAAGCTAATTAGGCAAAACTTGTGGAAAAAATTCAGACTGAAAAATGTCAGAAATGCATAATTTTAACTCAGTTTCTACATGTATGCCTGTATAAACTCACTTGTAACTCACTTGATCCAGGATTATTCAGTCTTTATCTGCCAGGGCATCTTTCCACCATTTCTCAAGCCCAGATTTGAAACGTTTGATAGTGGTACTCTCCACAACATTGTTTTACAAAAAGGTTCCAAAAGCTATGCCATATGATCTGTATGCTAATCTTGATTTTGTAGCTTACTTATTTGAATGTCACATTGATTTTAAACAAGAAGTTACTTATTAAATCATGACAAGAAATGTGCAAAAATGTCTTCAATTTGTGGGCAAAGCTTAGTGATATTCATGTCGCACAGTCATCTCAGAAGTTGGCACATTGCAGTTGTTTCATTGCATGTATTCGAGGGATGCATTACATGTCTGGACTTGCATACATTCCTTGCTCTTTAAATTTATGTACAGTTTAAATTTTGTCATGATATACCTTCAAACTTAAAGATAAAACTTGTCAACTTTTTGTGAAATATTTATTTTGAAATTGGTCTTCCAATGATACCGGATATATACGCTTTTTGGAGGAAGAAGATGGTCTTAGCAGACTAGAACTTCAGCTTCATGTACCTTACATGTACATTTAGTTCTGCTCTTTTTGGTAATTAATGAAGTGTGTAATTTGTGTCGTGTTTTAATTACTTGAATTTCTTGTACCTTTCTGACTTGGTTGATCTGAAAAGATTGCCCATGTCAGTGTCTGCCTCTGATTGGTTTGGGTAAGATGTTAATTTGTTTTCCTTCATTTCCTTGCACTATTTTTTAACTAGCAACATTATATTATGATATTTGAATGGAAAAGGGTGGATTAATGCAGAAATTAAATGTAGGTCAGAAACGTACAATGATTAATTAATTATTTAGTGATTGGATCTTGAGAGGAGGTTGGAGGTTGTAATTACATTTTGATGGTATTAAACAATTATACTGTACCCACTAACCACCAGAAATATAACAATGGAGAGTATCATATGGGTACATACATGTACAATGTACATGCTCATTAAATGATCTTCTTCACCTTAGCTCTTCTGTTTTAGGTTTACTGATTCAATCATTTTTCATGTACCCAGTACTTTTTCTGTAACTCTAATGTTTACATGAATTTTCCATGAACTTAAAACAAAAAACAAAATGAAACAATACCCTCTCTGCAATGAAATTTAACACCCATAACTTTCTTTAAACCAATGAGAACGACCTTGGACGGACAATACGTAAACTGAACAAAAAGTTTAACATTGCCTCTAATGGACTATTAAAGGGAGGCTTTACTACTTCAGCAAGAAGGGATTAGACCACCCAGTGAGCCATCGAGGTCACTGTGACAGGTGGCTATCTCATTAACTCAGCTCTCATTTAACATAAGAAAAAGAGGATCATGGGGGACCAACAGGCACCTATTTGGGAAGTTTTCTATATAGAGGGAGCAAGTAGCTACAAGTAGGAAAGTGTGCCTTTAAAGTGATCAGGCAATTTGGAGTTTGTTTAATAGTGATAATAATAATGTTGAAATTGTATATCACTTTAATTATGACAATTTAATTATGTTTGTGTTAAACCAATATTATAATGTAAAGCACAAACGTAAAAATTTCTTTATTGTGTGCATACAGGTAGATACAATTTAAACTATAAAGTTAAATATTTTATTATCACTATTCAACCAACTTCATTTGAGGCAATGTTACATTTTTGTTTGTGATTTACATTATAAAATTGGTTTAGCACAAACATGCAAAGAAAAGATAACACTTCTGCAAAAAAAGATAGGTCTTCCGGGCTCCGGCTCCATTTAAAAGTTTCAGAGAAAATTGTATTAGCATAGAGAATTCCACAGAGCAGGATCTGATGCTATGAAGGATTGGTTTCCCTGTGCTTTCATATTTAAGGGGGTAGAGATAGAAGTTTTGTTTGGCAGTGTGACTGTATGCACGTCCATATCCATCCTGAATCTGTTGAATACCGGTAATTAACTCAAGGTTATTAGAAACAATGCATCCATCCACAGATTCTACACAAGGGCAGTTCACATATGGAACACATAATGAGAATAAAAAGATGAGCGTATAAAGAGCGTTTGTAATCTCACTCGTTTGTGTGTGAACACAAATTCTGATTAGTTAAATTGCAATTCTGATCATGATTCAAATTGCACTTACTGTAGATAGCATATTATTTAGTGAATACATGTACCCAAGATCTAAAGCCATCGGCTGTGTGTGACAACAAAAGTCAGTGGAGCACTCTGTTACCAACGAGGCTACCCGTCCCTCGGATAGGACGTTAAATGGAGGCCCTGTGTAGAGGAGAGTTACCACCTTTGCACGTTAAGAACTCACATCACTATTCGTATAAGGGGAGAAACCCCGGTGTAGTGGTCCACCTGCACACCTCAAATCACTGCAGTGCGTAATCTTTGTTGTATGAAGTAGCACTTAATGAGGAAGAAGAAGAAGAAATAGAAAAACATTTTATTTATCCTATGTGTGAACAGGGGTAAAAAAACTTTTTTTTTTTCACTGTGTGTGAATGGGTCCACTGACTCACTACATGACCTGTACTGTCGGTGCTTCCAATAAACAGGAAAGGCAGGAAAGTGATCACAAACTGACGTCCCACTAACACAGTTCCGATGGTCAACTTCCAGATAATTTCGGAATTAACCTTGATTGAGAATTTGTACCAAAATGAATAAAAGGCAGTAAACAAGTGAACAAAACTGCTATCTTTAGGCTAATTACTATCAGGTGTGGTGTAAGTGTGAAACACATGTTAAACCCGCAGTCCGCAAAGAGCTCCCATCGAACCAATACCAGCCTCCCACGAGCTTGGGCAGAGGATTATAAGTGGATTTTATCAAAAATCAAAGTTGTGACATTAAAGTTTATTTATATGTTTGTGAAGGATTATGGCGCCACGTCAGAAGGGTGGATTTGAACCATGCAAATGCTATCCAAATTGCTTTTACTTTAAGGTAAATAACTTTTTTGTACAAATTTAACTGCAGTTGTAAAGGTTTGGGTGAAGTTGCGAACTTAGAAGAAAGATTCTCACTTTTCATAACATTTTTCCCATATATATGTTATTTCATTTCATTTCATTTCATTTCATTTATTTTCATTTCCAACAAAATAAATAAAGTACACCTGTACATGGGATTGCATTGTACATAGTAAAATATATTTGTAATTGGTCCACAGTGTACAACAGGCATATAAAACAGGTTGGTCATGGAGTTCTATTAGCCTAATCTGTTTTTGTTTGCCTGATCTCATAACTTCAGTCTGATAACTTGATGGAAGTTTGAAATTGTACAGCAAATGAAGAGTTTAGAGTCATTCTTAAATGGCAAGTTTTTCATTTTGCATGCGTAGAGCAAGTCCTTCATACATGTGTGACTTGTATCAGCTATTATTTGGTGAAATATGTTCTTCAAGAATAAATCCTTGCTATTGTCATTTCTGTGTCTCTCCGACATTTCTTGTCACCGTGAGCATTGGAATAGAAATGCTAGCAAGTTTTAATTTTGCGTGCGTAGAACAAGTCCTTTATACATGTGTGACTGCTATTGTTTGGTGAAATATTTTCTTCAAGAATAAATCCTTGGTATTGTCACTTTTGTGTCTCTCCAACATTTCTTGTCACCATGAGCATTGGAATAGAAATGCCTTTCATCAGGGTATTCCTCTTTCTTTGAGAGTATTTGTTGAACTGTAGCAATGTCAATAGGAGCTCAGCATGCATGGGGCTTCTCAAGCTTTTCAAGTTGTTATCTTTAATATACTGTACTGTTCACCTAGAAGCAGTTACTACAGTATACATGATGTATACTGTATGAATCTCTCTCTCTCTCTCTCTCTCTCTCTCTCTCTCTCTCTCTCTCTCTCTCTCTCTCTCTCTCTCTCTCTCTTCTCTCTTCTCTCTTTCTCTTTCTCTTTCTCTTTCTCTTTCTCTTTCTCTTTCTCTCTTCTCTCTCTCTACCTACATCTATCTATCTACCTATCTATCTATCCATCTATCTATCTATCCATCAATCTATCTATCTTTATATTTATCCTTCTCTCTCTCTCTCTCTCTCTCTCCTTTTCTCTCTTCCACCTCTTTGCCACCTAATTTGTCAAAAGAATTGACTTGAGTTTAACTACATGTAAGTTTTGATTCTATTAGGCATAACAATAACATGTCTTCTTTTGGGAACAAAGTTCATATTGCATACTACTTCTGTTTCATGGATGAAAAACCAGCAACTAAAATTCTCAAACATAATTTACAATCAACAGCCCAATAGGGATAGCAACGTAAGAACAGATCCAACAATAGCTATTTATATTGAGACTTTACTCATTGCCATGATGTATCTGGGGGTGTTTCACAAAGATCCCAAGTTGAACTTATCTCAAAGTTGGACTTAATAATTATGGAAAGCCGTTGGCATCTTTGAAAATATTTTGTAAAAGTTATTTTTAAAGGCATAACATTTTGATTCAAATCGTTCTTATTGTCTCTATCAAGGAGATTTCATGTTCTTGATGTGGAATTTATGAAGAGTCTAAAATACTTGAATTTTTGCTTTTGAATATATTTTATTTTAAGGCTACAAATGGCTCTCCATAATATTCAAGTCCAACTTACGGTTAAGATCTACTTGGGAACTTTGTGGAACACCCCCAGATCCAACAATAGCAATTTGTATTGAGACTTTACAAAATGTCATAATTTAAAAGTATCTGTTCTACCATTCTGATTTCATTGCAGGGCTGGCTGAAGAAATCTACTGAACCAGAGTCAAATGCCAAGAAGAAGAATTTCCTGAATCGCTCGTCGTCGAGTTGGAAGAAACGTTACGTTGTCTTACTTAAAGAAACAGAAGATAATCAGGATGTTGCTGTGTTGGCCGTCTTTGACAAGGATGTGGCATGCAACTTTAATAAACCTCGAGGTATGGTGTCTTTGAATATCATTTGTGACACAAGACATGTTTAAACATGTTCATGTTTTTATGTATGCGCAAATATACATTGTATATATAGCAGCTACAATGCATTTATTGGTTCGATAATGCACCAATATTAATTTCTTGTATTATTTATTGATATGCACCAAAAAAAAAATCCATTTGTACCTGTATATCTTACAGGCGGGTTAAGACTTAGAGAAATGAAGGTGGATATTGGAAAAAAGGTACACAATAATTATACATACCAGTAGTGGGTACTTGTTTATGTACTTACAAGTTAAAAGTGAATAAGAAAAGTGTATTCAGATGTAATAAACATGTTAGTTTACAATATTGAACTTCAATAAAAGAAATAATAATAAGGCAGTTAAGATTTATACTTAGAAACAAATTATATGTTCATTGACACATGCCATGCCCATGAGTGGGAGGGGGGGGGGGGGTCCGGGATGCCATGCCAGTCTTAGTAAAATTAAATTTAGAGAAAAAATGTGCACGATAAGAAATTTCTTTACCAAAGAAAATTCTTAACATAAGTGTATAATTGCCCTGAAAACAGCTGCACAAATATATCTTGTAATAGGTTTATTTTGTCAGTCAGTCTATAAATGACCAATCTATGATATGTATGTGTAGATTGAACCACCTCTTTTCTAATTTTAATATGAAATTGAAATGAACGACTTGAGATCATGTAGTATATTTGTGCCATGTCATGTGATAAAGATTATCAGGAAAGGAAATAATTGTTCTTGACATTGGAGCTTATCTTTGAGTTCGAAGATAACACATCCTTAACGAAAGAAAATCAATCTTACTTTCATTTGACTTTTGTCTATAAAGTAATAGGTCTAGTACTGGTTTTGTTTATTATTATTATCCTGTTTACTTGATCCCATCCCAACATGGCTACTGAAAATCGCTCTCATGTTCATTTGTCTATAAAGTAATACATTGGAGGTGTAATGCTGGTTTTGTTTATTATTACTATTCTGTTGACTTAATCCCATCCTTAGAAAATGAAAATCACTCTCATTCTCATTTGTCTAAGTAATACTTTGGAGGTCTAAAGCTGGTTTTGTTTACTATTTATTTTCCTGTTTACTTGATCCAATCCCAACATGGCTACTGAAAGAACTGAAATGATAAACTACCATTGCTTTAAAGGGATTAGGTACCTTTGCCATAGATTCTGAAACAAAACCCTGGATTTAGCTCATGCTGCAATGATAGTTATAAACCTTTTGGTCAGTCAGGAATCCCAAGACTTTTAAAAGCTGATCGCCTGTCTGAAATTTCAAAAACCGTTTTCCTAACGATTTTTACAACACTACAGTCTATTGGGGGAAAATGAGTACCGGTATCGTAAAACCGGTCACTCAAAGATTTTTACTTTTTGAGGCACTTCATGATCATTTTGAAGCGCAATTTTTTTTTAGGGCTTCAATATTACACCATATCACAGACACTGATAACACCTAGGGCCATGCATCTCAGATTTAACATTGTTAAAGGTATACCGGTAGACCAGTTTTGGAAACTGCCCACTCTCAAAAAATGTAATGGAGCTCTTATTACCACCGATCATGTGAAAGAATATGTTTTGACCAATACGTGATGATACAAAGTTTGCCGGGAACCCGCCTACTAATTGATATATTTGGTAAATTATCATATCTATCAGGCCTGGAAAGATATCACACAGTCCCATATACATCTTTCTTTGTACAGTGCTTGTAATTTAACCAAGATTGGGCCAAATTTCTTATCAGTTTGATAATTCCAGAACCTTGCAGTACACACCAATACTTATATGCTACACTGTAGATGATCAACCTTTTCTGATCGGTTCCACAACGTTTCTTTCACAAAGCAATTGCATGACCAGAACTGGTCTATATCTTTAAACGATGCCTTTAATACAAACATAGTCAATCAATCTCTTTCAATTTTAATTTCTCTCTCTCCCTCCCCCTTATACCCTCCCAGCAAGCCTCAGGTTATCGCCGTGGTACAGGGTAGATAAGAAGTACGACCCGACGGGCAAGCAGCACATCTTTGAGGTCAGGACTTCCAGGTCAACATGGCGGTTCTTAGCGGACAGCCAGACCGTCATGGATCTCTGGGTCTTCTACCTGCAGATACAGGCCAATCTAAGAACAGATTTCCCAGGTATGTACAAATAATATCTAATGAACTTATGGGATAGCTGCCAACTGTTACGAAAAAATCGTAATTGTTACGAATTTCCCACCCTCGATATAGGCCTTCTATTATTACAAATTTCAATATTTTGTGCGTGTGTGTGCCATTTTCAACGGCTAAATGCCCATTCTGTCCTGTAAAGTATCCTACAACCATTTCACATTGGCAATTTGGGGATGTACATTGGTTCCTCAAACACACCAGTCGTGATGAAATCATGCATATTCAACCGATGATCCATGCACACAATTTCCGGCATTGATCCGGTTTTTTTTTTCTTCATACAATTTTGTCAGTAAATTACAACTTTTGGGATTGAGGTTAAATGGTCTGACATAGATGTGCGCTTTGAGCACATGATATTCAGTTTTACTTAAATGTTACTAATTGAAAATTCCAAATGTTGACAGCTATGCAATGGCAGACCACTTGGGGCCAGGTCGTCACAATGCCCTGTTTAGCAATAGAAAAGATGCAAACTTTGAAAAATTCAAAGTTTATTTTGGTTTTTGAATGGTTTTTCTTCTTATCAATATTGAATGCCATGGCAGCAGAACAAGAAATACCTCATAAACCAATGCCATTAAACCCACATGAAGACTGCTAACTGAAGAGAACAGTATTTGTAGGCATGTTATCTTTATGGAGTTGATACAGGCTTTAATGAGAGATACTGTTACAAGGTAACAAAAAAATGTTCACAATATACATGTAATGTTGTAAAATTTGAAAGAAGATCTGACAGGACATTGGGTTTAATTAACCTCAGTCCTTCACAGAAAGATGTTGTGAAGTATCTCCTTATGATTCAGAATCAGTGAGAAATAGTAGTGCCAGGGCTTCACGGTGTGAGTAGATTTTGTTAATGACCACTTTTCATATTTTTAATGCTAAATGAAACACACCTCACAATACAGCCTTCTTATCCCTGATGCCCTTCTTAATAATACTTCCCCCTCCCCTTTACAGGAAGGTGTTTTGAAGTATCTCCCGATGATTCTGAGTCGATGAGACGGATTGGCGCGAGGGCTTCCCAGTGCCTGCTTCATCTCTCAAAGTGGGGTCTCACACTCGCTCTCAAGGTAGGTCTCTCTCCCTCTCCCTCCCTCTCGCCCTCTCTCTCGCTCTCTCTATCTCTCTTTCTCTCTCTCGCTCTCTCTGTCACTCTGTCTCTCTCTCTCGCTCTGTCTTTCTCTCTCTCTCTGTCTCTCTCTCTCTCGCTGTCTCTCTCGCTGTCTCTCTCTCACTCTCTCTCTCTCTCTCTCACTCTCTTCCTCTCTCTCTCTCTCTGTCTCTCTGTCTTGCTCTCTCCGTCTCTGTCTCTCCCTCTCTCTGTCTCTCTCTTGCTCTTTCTCCCTCTCCCTCTCCCTCTCTCTCACTCTTCAAATGTAATATTATCCACATTTTTCAACTCAACTATTACTCTCACTTTCACATTCTTCGATAACAGCGTACCAGGTCCCTGGTGGCCCAGTGGCCGCTGAAGTGCATCCGCGAGTTTGAGAGCTCTGAGACCGGCCGCTTCTCCTTCAAGGCTGGACGAAACTCACCAATGGGGGCGGCTGACTATGTCTTTGCCACAGTGCTAGGTCAGGACGGTGAGATATACGACCTCCTGGATGCCTATACAACAGAAGACCTTAGTAGTCAGGTAACTTGTTCATTTCTTCTTTATCTTCCAAATCTTCCAAAGGCTTTGCAGCCTATTCCTATGATGAAATAAACATTGCAAGATGTGTGAGGAAGATTAAAGCAATTTACTGAAATATGCCCCAGGGGTGTGTTTCACAAAGACTAAGATTGACTTTAAGATGGACTTGACTATGGCAGGCCGTTGCTCTCATTATTGGTCTCTCACTTATGATCTTAAGAAAATATTTTTATGCCTCCGTTACGAAGTAGCCGGAGGCATTATGTTTTCGGGTTGTCCGTCCGTCCGTCCGTACGTCCGTACGTCCGTACGTCCGTACGTCCGTCCGTCCGTACGTCCCGTTCTCGTGATCGCGTTATCTGAAGAACCGATTGATGGATTCCTGCCAAACTTTGGTCATGTATGTTACTTGCAGAGCCGATGAACTGATTAGATTTTGGGGTCACGAGGTCAAAGGTCAAAGGTCACAGGGCTCATTATGTATGCAAAAACAGCTCGTGATCGCGTTATCTGAAGAACCGATTGATGGATTCCTGCCAAACTTTGGTCTTGTATGTATCTTGCAGAGCCGATGAACTGATTAGATTTTGGGGTCACAAGGTCAAAGGTCACAGGTCACAGGGCTCATTAGGTATGCAAAAAGAGCTCGTGATCGCATTATCTCAAGAACCGATCGATGGATTCCTGCCAAACTTTGGTCATGTATGTATCTTGCAGAGCCGATGAACTGAATAGATTTTGGGGTCACGAGGTCAAAGGTCAAAGGTCACAGGGCTCATTATGTATGCAAAAATAGCTTGTGATCGCATTCTCATTAGAACAGATTGATGGATTCCTGCCAAATTTCGATCATGTATGTATCTTGCAGAGCCAATGAACTGAGTAGATTCATGGGTCATGAGGTCAAAGGTCAAGGGCTCATTATGTATCCAAAAATAACTTGTGAACGCATTCTCATTAGAACTGACAGATGGATTACTATTTAACTCAGGACATCTTGCAGAGCCAATGAACTGAGTAGATTTTAGGGTCATCAGGTCAAAGATCAAAGGGTCATATATGTATATGAGAAATTGCTTGTAATCACGATATTCTGAGAACCTCTTAATGGATTACAATTGAACTTGAATTTGAAAAATTTCTTCTGTTTTGGTTTGTAAAATTGCTCTATGACGGAGGCATCATTTTCGACTGCGCGCAGTCGAAGTTCCATCTAGTTTACTTCAATAACGAACTATTAAAAAATGTAAATTCTGTAGATTTGTCACCACAATTGGAACGTCCCTTGAGAAACCAATGCCAGTAAATGATGAGAGAAATAGTGGCATGAAAGGTCTGCCATAGTTAAGTCCAACTTAAAGTTGATCTTAGTCTTTGTGAAACATTCCCCAGGAGTAGTCTCTGGAAGTGCTAGGGATTGTCCTGGGGGGCGTTTCACAAAGCCTTTTTTCAATGACAAATGATCAAACCAGTGACAAATCTGCTGATAACCAATCAGAAGCAAGGATTTCAGTAGCTTATAACACAAACTGTCATTTGTCACTGATGACAAGTTTTGTGAAACGCCCCCTGTACTACTGATGATGGTAGGCTGTTCCATTCAGGGATAGGGCTTTGGGAAAATGCAAATTTGTCAAAGTCGCCTCTTCCTGGCACTTCTTTACAACTTCTTCTCATGATTTATCCATGTCAATATGAGACATAATCAAGTCCAGATACTTTTATCTAACTCAAAAATATATCCCTGAACTAGGTGCACATACACATGTAGACTACCTTATAATTTTTAGAGGGATGTTCATTTATGAAGTTATTCTTGCATTTTATAGCAACTTCCTATGGTTTTGGCCTTTTTTAAAATTAAACCAAAAAGAGCAACAGCCCAGGTGCAAAATTATCACCTTCTTTTCAGTGATTTATATCAAAGCATATTGTTCGATATATATATTTTTTTTTGTATGTGTAGTTGAAAGGTAGCAAATAACAGGTTAAAGATGAAGTTGAGTTCTGGTCATGCGATTGCATTGTGAAAGAAACGGTGTGGAACCGACCAGAAAAGGTTGATCATCTAGCACATAAGAATTTGTGTGTATTGCAAGGTTCTAGAATCATCAAAATGATAAGAAATTTGGCCAAGTCTTGGTAAAATTACAAACACTTGCACAGAAAGATGTATATGGGACTACACGAACATGTGGCGTAAAAAGCCGCCCCCCCCCCCCCCCCCCCCGATTTTTACGATGTTACATGCATATTTCGAATATGAAGGCATTTGAAGAGCCATGCTTTTCAGGGAAGATGTCTTAACTGATGTTTTTCCATACTTGCATAATAAGAATGAGTAATATTCACAAATTATTTTTCACCTCTTCCCAGAACTCAACCTTCTCTTTAATCTATTTGAGATTTGCTGTTATGATTGTTTATTTTAGAAATTGAAATATTCACTGAGCATTTTCAGTACGATAACTATTTATTATTTGTCAATTAATTATTTGTATCACCATGTTTAATTAAGTGTGATGTCAAGATATGATTCATTTACATTGAGTTAGATTGAATTTCTATTGTCATCTAAATAGAGTCCCACCGCGGCACTAATGTCTTTTGGCAAGACAATAATCTACATTTTCCACACTCCACCCAGGTGAAGTAAATGGGTTTCTGGTAGGAGGAAATCCCTTGAATGCTTGAGTGCCTTTTCATGTTAGCTTGTCTAAAGCCGGGGTAATAATATGCTTGGAGGGCCCTCTGAAGGAACAGTATTTATACTGATGAAGCTACCCTGGGTAAACAAGACATATTATTATTATTTATATTAATGTAAATGTAACATTAACGTCTATATCTGCGTTTTCTTACAGCCGGAGAACCAGTCAGGTCCTGCATCAGCCGAAGTAGTTAACCAAGACTATGAGAGGCTGAGATTAGCAACCTTTGGTCTCCTTCCGCGGAGGGGCTCAGAAGGTAAGAGATTATCATGTGACCACCTCCTCTGCCCCCACCACAAACTACCCCCCCCCCCCCCCCCCTCCCCTTGCTCCTCTCCCTTCCTCATTTCCTAGGCCAATATCCTTTCACACTCTGCTATGGGAGGTGTTTCATAAAGCTGTGCGTAAAGTTACGCATGACTTTACGAATGACTTGAATATGAAGAGCTAAATGGGATTCTCAAATCATTTTAATTGCCTAAGCTAAAGTTGAAATATGCAGATGTAGGTTAACCTCATCATTATTAATAAAACATTTTAATGCAAAGTGTATTTTTGGCTACAATTTAAGTGAGATTATGGGAAATACAGTCACACTTTGTTAAAATGTCAGGAAAAACTTTGAGCATCCCATTTGGCTCTTCATATTCAAATCATTTGTAAAGTCATTCGTAACTTTACCAGAGCTTTATGAAACACCCCCGTGCTGACATAAGAATCCAATAATATGAGAGGTTATGACTGGCAGATACTTGTCCTCCTGCTGAGGAGAGGCTTGGAAGATAAAAGGGAGACAGAGAGAGAGAGACAGAGACAGAGAGACAGAGACAGAGAGAGCACCTCCCTCCTCTCCCCTCCCCTGACCCTCTTAAATAGAACTATATCTACAAAGGCGCGATAGCTCAGTTGGTAGAGCAGTGGTCTCGTAATCCATCAACCCGCGTTTGATACCAAGTGCCCTTTGATAAGGCATTATTCCTCATTACCCGGTTCCTCGGAGAGGACCTAAAGCCGTCAGTCCTCTGGTTGCTTATTAACAGAACAAGCGCTTTCTTAGCAGTCAGGTTAAACAACCACCACTAAACTAAACTACATATGTATAATTATTTTTTATTGGATGAGTCAAGGAAAACGTGGTCAGGTAGGGACAAATACAATTTAAAGGGATTGGGTAATTTTGTCTCAGATTCCGAAACAAAATCCTGGATTTAGCTCATGCTGCAATGGTAATTATAAACCTTTAGGTCAGTCAGGAACCCCATGAATTTACAAGCCAATCACCTGTCTGATTATCAAGATATTTATGATTGAAAATCGAAATTAAATTTTGCGTTTTCCTAATGGTTTTTATAATACTACAGTCTATTGAGAAAAAACGAGTTTGGTAAAAACCGGTCACTCAAAGATTTTTACTTTTTTGAGGCACTTCTTGATCATTTTAAAGCGCAAATTTTTCAGGGCTTCAATATTACACAGACACTGATAACACGTAGGGCTGTGCATCTCAGATTTAACATTGTTCAACGATGCCTTTAGCCAACTCTTTGGAAGTCGTTTACACAATTCTTTTAATGGTAGTCAGATCTTATCAAACAGCTATGCTGAGAACATCCCTCAATGCTCAGGAAAGACTACCTTTGGAAGTCGTTTACACAATTCTTTTAATGGTAGTCAGATCTTATCAAACAGCTAGGCTGAGAACATCCCTCAATGCTCAGGAAAGACTACCTAAGACTTCCTGATATCTTTCCTGGTTGCAGTAGATCTCTATCTCTCCCACAGAAATAGAAACTAACATTCATTGTTTTCAATGAAATCACCTATATATGTAAAGAAGCTATGTTTATAATTGTGGGACTTGACAATTGAAATTGTACATATGCAGTATTGGAGGTTATGGGTCATCTGGAATCAAAACATTTAGTCATTTTATTGGTTGGGTTGACGATCAAAGTTTGCCACCCCTTTTGATAACACCAACAGAAGCCATCGGATTTCCTTTGTTCCCAAATGGTCCATATCTTTTGGATGGCCCTGATCATTGTGTGGTTGGTATATTTAATTGAAGAGCTGAATTGGCTGCTTTAGAAAAAAAATGAAAGTTCAAATGAATGTTATCTGATCGATGTTTATTGAATATATGGAGATTATAAGCTTTGTTCTCTACCCCCCCCCCCTCTCTCTCTCTCTCTCTCTCTCTCTCTCTCTTTTTCTCTCTCTCCCTCTCTTTCTCTCTCTCTCTCCTTCTCTATTTCTGTCTATCTGCTTCTCTAGCTCTCTCTCTCTCTCTCTCTCAATCTATATCTTCTCTTTCTCTCTCTCTCTTTCTTTCTCTCTCTCTCTCTCTCTGTCTCTTCCTTTCTCTCTTTTTCTCTCACCCTCACCCCCCCCCCCCCCCCCCCCTCTCTCTTTCGCTCTGAATACCACTTGGCCCACTCTCCTTGCAAACTGCAATACATAATGTAGTTTGTTGGACTTTGGCTCTTGCATGACAATATTCATGTTCACTTAGATAATTATTTCTATTCCACTATGTGTCTTTTTAGAATCAGTTAAAGCCAGTAATGATGTTAGGTGGTATCCTCGAAAGCGGACTAACTTTAGTCCATGGTTTAATCCTCTGACTAAGTATGGAATGCCAAGTGTCCATATGAATATATTTTTGAATAATTTGATCTCTAAATTACCATTATAACATAATTATTTCATATTTATATTGTTGTTTATTAATTATGCTATTACAATTTATTTTAATTTAGTGACAGATCAATTATTCAAAAACATATTCATATGGAAACTTAGCATTCCGTACTTAGTCGGAGGATTAAACCATGGACTAAAGTTAGTCCACTTTTGAGAATACCACCCTTTGACTCTTGTTTCATTCAGTGCCTTTCAGATTATTTTTTTCTTTCAAGTGCCATCATTCTCCCAGATGCCCTACATAATTACTTCAGTATATCATATAATATATATATATATATATATATATATATATTTAGGATTTATTGAAATCAAATCACATCGAAAACCAAGAACAAACAGTCTGAAGACAGACACCTGTCTTGGGTACAATATAAAATTTAAATCAAGTATACATAATAAAATAGCAGTAACGAATACATAAATATGTTACATAAGTTAAAATATCAAATAACTATTACATTACATCAAATGTTTCTCCATGAAGGTCGACCGATCTCCCCTAACCACACCCAGCACAGCCAGGCCGTCCCTGTCCCTGGACGACCCAAGAACTATGATCGGCTGGACCGATCAAGAGATGGTGAGCCTCAAACTTCTATCCTGTTGCAGATACAGTTTCATGAAGATTTATAATTCATCCACTAATATTGAAATTATTAGCAAATTTTTAAAATCGATTACTGGAAGTACTCAAAATTGCTTTGTGAAGTTTCACCAGTTTCTACTGGCTTCTTCTGGTGGTGTTTGTACCCCCAGAAGTACTTCCAGCAATTACTGGTAACCTACAGCAGTGCTAATAGTCACAGATACAATTTATATACATTATTTGTATATTACATTTATATGGATTTAACATTTTCATAGTATGAATAGGAATATTGTAGAATTCATGTAGATTAGTGCCAATTTCATCAAGAAAATGTGAATCTATATTAAAACTACATGAAAATCTAAACACTGAATTATGAATTTAGTAACGGGTGAGGTAATTTGAAGAGATGATTGGTACCATTAAAAAAAATGTTTAAAAATTGCAATGAATAGAGACATCATTTTGGATATTGGGTCATCTGTTAACTCTTGCAGTTTTCCCTGATGACTGCAAGATGAAAAGAGTCAATAAAGTTGTTGTTGTGCCAGCAATAATGCTAATTGAACCCAAATACAATCCTACATTACCATTGGCCTGGTTTGAAATAGGTCATAAAAATTGATTAATAAATTGGTAAAATAAAGCAGATGTGTTTGGAATGTAATTCTTTTTACTCTGCTCGAAGATCTGTATCTGTTCAAAGAGAGATTCATAAAGCCTTTATTTTTGTATTGCTTCAAACTTTTTAGGTTCCAACAAAAGACTTGACAGGACCAAGAGTGACAAAGTGAAGAGAACTCAGGCGGCGCCACCGGTACCATCTCGTACCCCGTCCTTACCCCCGAAGACATCCCGCCCTCCCAGCGCATCCTCGTCTCTTGCCATGGAACCAGAATACAACCTCCCGTATGCAGACATGGGAGGAAGATCAGTGGAGGATGAGAACCTGCCGTACACCGAGATGGGTTCTGCATCAGTCAACACACTCACCAGACAAGGGTTGGGTCGTGACAGCAAGGACCGGATGACCTGGGATGTACCCATTCCCCGAACTCTGACGAATAGCACCGCGGCCAGTGACAGATCGAGTTACCAGTTAATGGATTTCACACCCCAGTCGTACCGTAACACGCTCACACAGAGCTATGAGAACACCCCCCTCATCAGTCCCAGTCCAAGGGCGAGAGGGATGTCCAATGGAGGGTTTGTGAATTCCCCGATGCAAAGGGCGATGACGGAGTTGACGATACAGGATCACGAGTATCACATGGTGGAGTCGACTCGAGGTGCTGCAGGAGGGGATGGATCAGATCCTCCAAGCCCTCTGGTACACACCTACTTTGAAGGGGAGTTCACAGGAAGCAAGGGCTCCTCTGGAGAGAGGGAGCACCATTATCAAGGAGTGGATTACGAGGGTGTCGGTCCGGAGGGTTCCCTGTCGCGCTCTTTCTCCCTCGGTAACCTTCGTAGCCCAACATCGATCACAGACTCTTACATCGACAGATCACCAAACCTTGGGTCTCTGGACCTCGCCTTTTCTTTCTCACCTGCAAACATGCCAAACTGGATGAACGAAAGACAGTTACCATCTCTACCTCGCGATGAAGTTCCACCAACTGAAGAGAACCCATACGTTGTGTCCCCCAAGAAGGGTAGGTATGCCTACGAAGACGTGAACAATATCTTCCCACCCACTCCTGCGCAGGGTGCCCAACAAACGGAATATGAATCTGTCAGTAATACATCGGCAGAAGAAATCAATGTACAAAATCATGTCATGCGGCAAAGCACGTTTTCAGAGGGATATGTAGACTCTAATCTTGTTCGATCACAGACAGACAGTTTTCAACCCAATACTGCAAGGATAGTCACACAAGAATCTGCCAATGTGGCACACTCGGCCATCGTTGAACCGGGCGTGATGTACGCACAGGTTGTAGCATCGGTTCCAGCTCCAGAAGCGGAACCAAAGGAGAAACGGAAATCATTCAAAGCCAGGACACTAGAGCGAGTCAAGATGAAAAAAGCAAAATCCCTTGTGGACCTTTCCGTAACCCCAAAATCTCCTGAGCGAAGATCAGTGGCACTCGAAGACATGGACAATACAAAGGTAACTAATAGTCTAGGGCGTCCAAAGAAGATGAAGAAATCTAAATCGAATCCAAACCTGCTGTCGGAGCAACCCTCTTCAACTCCTGAGGTCGCACAACATTTCATCTCGCCAAAGAAAGGTGCAGACATCAAACAGTCCCCTGTGACAGGGGTACGCAGGAAGTTTGGTTTGGGACTGAAGATGATGAGGCAGAAGAGTCGGAGCCAGGATGAGGAAGGTGGCGGGGAGAGTCCAGGAAAACCCAAAGTTTTGCCAAGTTTTGCCAAAATAGACGTCAAAGGCATCTCTACAACGGACAAGACAAAGTCCTACTCCAGAAGATCACAAGGTCAGCTGAGCGATCTACCGCTCGATGGTGCCGTCGATGCGAAGATCAAACAGGCAAAGGAGAAAGGAGGGGCAGCGGGAAAGAGACAGCGAACAGTGTCGGCAGGATCTGCCATGTCTGTTCAGTCTATGTTGAACGAGCAATCAAACTCTACTGGTATGATCACCAACCCCCTTGCGTTGGGTTCCCAGTCCCCTGGCGAGTCTTCGGAAGGACCGGAGCTGGATGAGCAGGGTTACCTCTCGCCGTCGGAGATAGGCTCTCCTGTCAAGATGATCGCGGATCCTCTGAGTGATAGACCGCTCCCAGAGCGCCCTCTTCCCAGCCCTCCGTCACATTCCCAGAGTGCACCACTCTCAAAAGTCAGGGACGCCAAGATCACACAGGTTTGGGAGCTTTGATATTAAGATCTCAATTTAATCAACGTTTATTACATTTTCTGCCGTCTAATCGTGTAGGAATGCTTAGTGCTCAATTTAACGGTCCAATATAAGCAGTACCATTTGATGTACAATTTGAATATGTGAAATCTTCCTAATTATGGTCCCTTATGCGTCAGTCACACCTTTGTGTATTTGACTTGCGTATTGCTGCGTATTTATGACGAGCCGTTTTAACATTTATTCCTATTTCTTGATATCAAGAAATGATTTTCTGTTGTAAATCAATGGTAATTCTTGATATAAAAAAATGCTTTTGCATAATGAATAGATTGGTAAACCAAAACAATATTTCTAACTGGTGTTTCTAATCGGAAAAAAGGATATACGTGTATGATGAAGGCCACTACAGCTTTGCAATTTGTGATATATGACATATTGATAACATAGAGACCAACATGTTACAGATACTTATCATATTTTCTAGTATCTCACCTCCACACAAACAGGGTACTCTTTTCTGCATAAAAACATACAAATTATGTCAGAAGTAAAGATGTTGATTTCTATCAAAATATCAAACTTTAAAAGGTTTTATTTAATCCTATCAGTTGAAGTTATATTATTGTTCTTCCATTTGTGTGAATGTGTGAGGCTGATTTTAGTATGATATATGTTTGCCTCATAATTTCATATTGTGGTCATTATAGTTTTCACTGCTTAAGATCAAACTGCCAGATCATGTGCAAAAAATATAAGCAATATTGATTTATTTGAAGAGAGATATGCATGTACTTACTGAATTTCACTGCGTTGAAGTATTCAGGCAGAGTTTTATCGTAGCATTCAGTTAACATGGTGTCACATATTACAATAGTGCATCAAGGCCCCGTCTTATAAAGAGTTGAGGAGGCGGGATAGCTCAGTCGGTATAGCAGTGGTCTCGTAATCCGGCGACCCGGGTTTGACACCATGGCGATGCGCTCGTGCCCTTTGGTAAGGCATTAATCCTCTTTACCAGGTCTCTCGGAGAGCACCAACAGCTGTCGGCCGTCTGGTTGCTTACTTACAAGCATTTATGCAGTCAGGTAAAATAAACACCACTACATATCAATCGCAACTATTTTCATAAGAGAAAGGTGACTACAAAGTTGCAATTGATGGGAGGACTTGCTAATCGCAACTCTTTATAAGACATGGCCCTAGGTTATGTTTCACAAAACCGTCATATAAGTTCACCGATATCACATTGAAACGCTTGAATTAAAGGGGCTGTAGCATGGGAAATACTCGTTGACACCATCTACGTCTCTTTTGGACAACTGCACTTAAATGAATGGACTTGATTAACTGGTTTCGCGTATTTTGCGCGCAAGTGAATGCTGCGGTCGCGTCATCCGTAGTCATATTATACCCGATTGGCCCCGAGTTAGGCCAAGGGAAAGACACGTAGTCTAGCCATGCAGCAACCTCTTTAAAATGAATATGCTTGTCAATGGGATTTCGGCTAACTTGTACTTATGACGGTTTCGTCAGATGATGTTCAGATTTAGTGTAGATTTAGACCTAAAGTGCAGCATTTGCAGCAATTATCGTCTAAGTGTATTTGATTATATAGTCATTTAGTACACATTATGCATAAAGATGAAGCAATTATTGGACATGCTTCGTGATAACTGCCTAGATAATGAATATTGCTAATGGGATTGACATTTACATTTATAGCTTTTTGCATTTCTGATTTGGACTAAAATGCAGTACAGTACTTATTACATGATCTGAGTATTCTCGAACATTTCAAAGATTTTTTTTTTTAAAACTCTTTATTTGCTATGGATCAAAACATTAGCCTGCCACCTTGTTTGGAGTATGTAATACATACAATGTAAACACTGTATGTGTGACAAAGGTTGACAGTGGCAATGTACTGTTTGTTGCATTAGTTTACCTAAGCTGGTAAAGGGTTGAACACACAATAATTTGGAAGGAGAGTCACTCAAATAGGCCATTTTTCGTAATATAATAAATGAAATGCACAAATCTTTATTAAGTGCATACTGTAGTTACAAATTATGTCATTCATCTGTTACAAATTATTGTAGTTAATTAGGCAGAATGCGGATTTCATACATTCTGTGTTGTTAGGTAGGACAAGCCATAATGTTTGCCCTACCTAGCAACAATTAATGTATGCAATGTGTAAATACTGACTATTGAAATACAATTATTTGTTACAAGTGAATGAAATGACTTGAAATGAGGCACTTTATAGTAAAGATTTATGCATTGAATTTGAATACATTACGAAAAAAATGGCCTATTGCAATAAATCATTCCCAAGTCATAATATGCGGATATCCAATCCAAATTTACACTGATTTCAGAACATGGGTTTCAATGCATGGGATGTCAGCTAGTGAACTAAGACCTACATGTATGATGGTTTCTTGCTTGGGTCAAAGGTCCTTATCTCATAATGTGAATTTGAGATGTAAATATCTCATCAGGAAATGCGGAGATGTGTCTTTAATCATGATTTTTTGTTGGTGAGCAATAAGTTGAAGCCTTTTAACTCCCTTTTATATACTTACATATTGCCAATTTTTGTTCTTCTTTTTTTATTGATCATTGTACATAAATCTCATTATTTTATACATAAAAATGCACCTTTTATTTGTATGCCAAACCTGGTTTCTTATCTGTTGAGCATAGTGACTCACATTGTACATACTGCCATTAATATTCATTTTTAATACATCTCATAATCGTATTGTATACAATATTCGATATATATATATATATATATATATGATATATGCAATAAGTGACAAATTCCAGGTACTTATATGTGTTTATGAACTGATATTGTATTTCATTTAGATGTCTTTCCATTATTACATTACAAGATTTTACTTAGGCGTGACTACTATATTACAAAATTATTGAGATATTTTATCTGTATGTACTTGTACAATAATGGGACATCGCATTGGATATTCTATGTTCGTTTTCTTTTTTCTTTTTTTTCTACCATGAAAATGTGTGAAATAGAGCAAATTTCATCCTTTATAATAATGCAATCTTTAGAAGAATACTTTTCGGAATATACTAACAAGTGTCCAAAATACAGGCTGATGATATTGCTGAGAACTGTTACATAATGGATATTTTGTTTCAAAAACTTGAAGCACATATTTTGAATTGTGTGTATGTAACGAAGTGTCATGACAGTCTTCAATTCTTTCAAATGCTGCTAGTATGTAATCTAAATGCAAATTTTCAAGGTCACCAAGGTATGAGCAGTGTGTGGGGTAGTCCAGAATCTGGGCAGCGTCTCACGGAACTGTCACATGTACAAGTCCAACGACATCCCATTGAAATGCGTGTATTAAGTTTAACACGTGTTTCAATAGGATGTGATCATGTCTGTGAACTTGTACTTACGACGGTTTCGTGAGACCCTACCCTGGCCGATTCAATGAAGATGCAGAAGATGACGTGATCCCCAAATTTCCTTGCCCGTAAAAAAATGTTTAGCCTGGGCATACCACCAATGTGTATGGATTCGGGGATCACGCCATCTATGGCTTGCAGCAGGTAAGGGATGGGAGAGATCGCGGTTGCAACATAAAATAACACGGTCCAGATTCTGGACTAGGTGAGGGGAAGGGGTCTTATAGTCTTCTTTTTATGTTGTTCCCCTCTCCCTTCACTTTTACTTTTTTTTTTTTTTTGTTGTTGTTTTGTTTGGGGGGGGGGGGGGTTTTGTTGTTGTTTTTTTTTTTTTTTTTTTTTTTTTTTGGGGGGGGGGGTCTTTTTATGCTATGTGATGGGGGGGGGTACATACCTCTATGGCTACACCACTGAATATTTTAGTGAACCTTAAAATGTACTTATTGTGAAAGCAAGAAAATTTGCCCATTTCAAAACTTTGTGGCTTTCAGTCTATATGCATGTAATATATAACTACAAATGTAAATGCACTATAAATCATTCATGTAGATATTGATCATGTAATTTGATGTACTGTATACTATAAAAGAAGTTGTAGAAAACTTGCATAATGTACTTGATAGCATAGTGGTATATATATATATATATAAGGGTAGTTGGACAAGTTATTATATATCAAATAGTATGAACAATACCTGATAGAATCAATGTATACAAAAAATAGCTCAGTACTCACAAGTAGGTAGTATCTATATATTTATATTATCATCAGTTCTTACAATCATGTACTAGCTTTATAGAAGTTTTAGATAACCCAAATTGTATATATATATTTGTCTATTTCATAGTGCTTTATGTGTGCTATGAGTACTATGCTGTCAGCGCAGGTAATAGTTTGTATGGAGGGTCGTTACATGTATCATGGTCACAGCAAAGTATTTGTATATTTATACATCGAGGGTTCAGTGACACAAAGACGTAACTCCATATTTTTTCCAAAATGAGTATTTGATATCAAAATGTTCAGAAAAATGTGGGCTTCCCAGGAAACACAAACACTTAACTCCACCCAACACCCCATTGGGAAAGGCTAGTTAAACATAGACTTAACTCCTCTTTAAGGCCCAAGTGCTCAGTGACACATAAACCACTTTTTCTCAAAATTGCCAAAATGGAGTTACGTTTTTGTGTCATTGACCCCTCAAAATGATAGGTGACAAGAAAACACAGGTATAATGGTCATCAATATGCAAAGATCACAATGAAAAATGTTTAGTCAAATATTTGAATGTTATGAAGGTACTTTTCACTGTATTAAGGGGAACTCTACTTAAACAATCATTAAACAAGTATTATGCTTAAACAAGTGTTATGGACAGCAAAGTATTTGTATATTTATACATGATTGGTGAAAAGAGAACACAAGTGTAATAGCCATCAATGAGCAAAGATCAAGATGAAAATGATAAGTCAAATATTTGAATGTTATGAAGGTACTTTTTACTGTTTGGAGGGGTACTCTACTTAAACAATCCTTAAACAAGTATTATACTTAAACAAGTGTTATCGACAGCTAAATGACAAAGAAAATAAATAGTACATTAGTCAAAATTCAAGACAGAATTGAAGTTTGTAGATAATTGCAACCCTTTTAGACTATGTAAAATGTGCATTTGCCTAACATATGCTGAACACATTTCTGTTAACAAACTAATAATCTGCTTGTAACTTTTAAATGCGTCCAGGTCACTTCTGAAATTCAACAACTTTACTAATAACTTAAAAGTTGTTCAACATACCTCTTTCTCAGCTTTATTAATTCAAATTATTTTCTCTTGGTACATTAATTGTCTCGGGCTTTTTTCAATTTTCTGTTGCGTTTTGGTTGGTGGATATTGTAGGGCTACTCGTTGAACACTTGTTTATGAGTAAATAGTTACCATTTTATTCTGAACCCTCTTATGTAGACCTAAATGTTCATCATTTGTTATTTTGTAATCAATTGAGAAGAACATTTGCAATTATCTTTCAGTTAGAGTCACAACTTGTAGCGGCATAGGAAAAATTGCAACGATTTTGTATGTATGTTATTTAATAATGTTTGTACATTTTATTTAGTAAAACAAATCGTGGACAAATCATGTTTATATTTAGTACTGCCACATACGTAAGCAGATATCTGTACATTTTTATTTTCTTTTGATAAAAACGCTGAACATCTCCTGACCGTGATAATTATGTTATCTGAAATTAAAGAGTCTTCTGTATACGATGCACTGTAGATGCATGAAGCATTGCACACTTTCCTTTTTAATCCGAGTGTTTGTATTCTAAAAGCGGCAGACCGACCTGTGTAATGTGCAGAGTAGGCACACTATACACATTTTGGGTGAGAAATGCCATAACGGTAAAGGTAACGCTATGTCCGACCAACTTTTGGACAATTTCATGCCCAATTTGGATGATGTTTTGCTCAATCACAGTCACAATTTACTACAGATTGAGCGAAAGTCTCGCTAAGTTGGCCCCCTAATTGCCCCGGTGCTAGTTGGGGACGAGATTTTCCTCATATTGGGCAATTATTTA